AGCAGAATTCCAAAGGCCGTTCTTGCTCTGTAAAAATGCTGGTTGGAGATTATAAGATTCTCAGAGCAGGAGGAGTGATTGGGTGAGCTTAATAGTTAGCGTCAGCAAGCTTCAACTTCAATTTCCTTTCATAAGAAAGTTATGCCTATCTGAGGTCTGAAAAATTCACATTCGTATGTCCCAGTATTTTCTCCCTTGGAAAGAAGGTAGAAATGCACTGCCTCCCAACAATCTCTGAAGTTATGAGATGTGATTCTTTCCCCAAAACTCCAACATGACTTCTATTTCATTATATGTATCATACCAAACAGAAAATAGTGACCATCTCAACAAAACTCTGATAGTTGAACTCACTGTCAGGACAACTATACCAGGGATCTGGTGGTGGAGGACATGACATCCGAAATTGGGAGAAAAAGATATGTTGTCACTGATTCTGGCTCCTGGTTGACCTCATGTGTTTCGGAGTAGCACTGCACTCTGTAGGATGTTTCAGTGGCTGATTTTTCAAAAGTAGATCACTAGGCCTTTCTTCTGAACTGTCTATGGGTCAACTTGAACCTTTCAGTTGAGAAAACCAGAGTTGAATTTTGGTTCTATGACTCATTGGTGCTGTGACTTTAAATAAAGCACTTATTGTAACCCCCTGAGCCTCTATTTTTTCATATATCAAATAAGGTATGATTAATATTTGTACAGGAGCTCTGGTAGCATAGTGGCTAAGGCACTTGACTGCTAACCAGAAGGCTGGCAGTTCAAACCCACCAGCCACTCCTCGGAAGGAAGGTTGGGCATTCCTACTTCCGTAGTGATACTGCCTGGGAAACCCAAGGAGGGGTCACTATGAGTCGGGGCCAACTCGATGGCAAACAACAACAACAACAACAATATTTGTACATCATTCATTGCCTTAATGTACAATGAAGCCATTTGTAAACTGTAAAACATTATCCAACGGTTGATTCTCATCACAGAAACGATGCTTTTGACCACTAAGTTCCATTGTGCAGGTTTTGTGTGGAGAGTGGAGAGTGAAGAGTGAGACGTCCCCACACAGCCATCCTACGCTGCAAGCTGAAGCAAGCAGAAAGGGAGAATGCTGGGCAGAGGGAATACTAGGAAATGATATGAATGAAACCCTCTATCAGGGTTCCAGGTAGCTACAGGATGAATGCTCATGGAACAAAAGGTGCACTGCTCATACTACTGGTTTAATTAATGCTTGTTGACTGAATGAATGAAGGTATAGCTGAGTGAAATGCTTGAAAAGCAAATGAGCCCAAGCTGTGTAGAAGAAAATAATTTTGGAAAAATGAAAGCACATAGCCTCAGAAGCTAACAGTTATAGACTCTGCTGGCGGAGGCTGTCATGGCAAAATAAATGGCAGTCTTTGTCAAGAGAGCAAGAATCCCACAAGTATCATATCAGTTTGTTAATTACGGACACCATCTTTAGTTAAGCACAAAGGACCAAAACAGCAGAATTGCTTGCATGTGAAAAACTATGAAAATGACCCTATTGTTGTGTTGTTATGTGCCATCAAGTTGGACCTGACTCATAGTGACCTCTCCTTGGGTTTCAGAGGCGGTATCACTACGGAAATAGATTGCCCCATCTTCCTTCCGAGGAGTGGCTGATGGGTTTGAACCGCCAGCCTTCTGATTAGCAGTCAAGTGCCTTAGGCACTATGCTACTAGAGCTCCCAAAAATGACTCTGTATATGAGGAAATGCTTTGAAGGCCACATGCAGTGAAGTTTATAAGGTCCATGTGAATTATATTTGATCACATACACATAAAATAGCAGATCTATTCCATCCTCTTATAAAATCTTTATAAGACCTACTAACATGTGACCAAATGAAATGGATTAAAAGTATTCCCTCCTTTTATTTTCCTTATTGGTGTAAGAAATGATAAGAAAAAAATATACAAAGGCATATCAGAAGAAAAAGTAGCAGATGGATGAATGAACTGTGAGTCTGAAAAAACTACAAAATATAATAATTACCACTGAAAACAGAATTACATATTTTGGACTTCTTAATGTAAAATAAGATTTCAATAACTTTTGACTATAAAAATTATTAACTATAATAACTATGCGATTCTCCACAAATTATTGTTCTGAAACTCAATTTCTTCAAATGAACATGGCATTCTTAATTCTTAAAATTAAAAAAAAAAAAAAATTAAGCCCCTAGCACAGAGCCTGACTTACAAAAAGTATCCAATGAATGGTAAAGCTTTTTCACCTCCCTCCTATCTCTCCTTAGTTTAGAGAAGAAATATGTATATAATGCCTAAATAATAGCATTTGATGTAATCAGAGAATGTAAGTCTGAGCACATGGTTAAAAGTGGATAGTCCAGGTAAAATGACATTAAATGAATAATAACAAGACATGTCTGAAGTGCTAGCTACTTGAAGGAAAATGGGAAGACACGAAAAGCAACATTATTATCAAGATAAAATAATCTGTATTTATCTTTCACAAAAAGTACCATAAAAAAAAAAATTCTGATTGTGAAGATTTTCTTTTCATACACTGAAAACTGTTTTCTGTTTATTACCAACTGGAGAAAGAGGGGTGGGCAAATATTTAAAATGTATTATTTGAAAAAAAAATCCTCACTCAGGGTAACACACCTAGCCAAGTTCACTGATAAAGTCACAGATAGGTTTCAGATTGTACACAGTACGCCCTCATGGGAAAAAGCTGACCAATACCTTAGCACATGTTTCCTAATGAAAGAGAGTATTTTGTTTAATCAAGAAAAATGTGTCCATCTGTATGAGTTATGCCCATGTTAATAAGCATACTCAGTCACAAGATTAGCAAAATATAATTACAATGAAAATAATGATTGCAGCTAGTATTACCACTACTGTTCATCACCATCATAACCACTGCTAGTTACTGAGTGCCTGCTACCTGCCAGATGTTTAAGCCTCACAAAACCACATGGATTAGATAGCATCCCTATCCTCCCTCTACAGAGGGGAAACAGCTGTATACTAATTATTTGAAGTGATAACAATATCAAAAAATAAATGTAATAAATAATTTATTCTATTAACCAGATACTAATAAATAATTGGCAATATAGGGGGAAGATGGCAATAAACAGTACCTCCAAAACAAAAAGTTTACAAACATTTTTTAAAAGAGCAATGATAATGCATGTTTTATTTTACTTTGTTTTTTAAAATCTTGTATTATTTATTTAGATCAAAAAAAATAATTATTATTTTAAAACACAGTGATTTCAATGAACTGACTTAACCAGAAGAACCCAGAAGTCATACAGAAGAAATAACCAGAAGAACCCAGAAGTCATACAGAAGAAATAACCAGAAGAACCCAGAAGTCATACAGAAGAAATCAATAGGAGACAGTGCACTGCACTCGAAGTGGAGACCATGTCCATTCTCCAGAGATGCCTGTATAACAGTATCCTAAGCATAATGTAAACTAGGTTCCACCAACTGAAATTTAACTTTCACACTGTTGGGTACTTTGGGAATAATTGTAAAAGCCAACCTTATGAGAAGATGGAAAATTAAACGTGGCAGACAAAGACATTCAAGTCAGTGTTCAGAGTATTAATTTTCATCTTCTACCATCTATTATAACTACTGAAGAAATTAAGGCTTTGCTTTTGAAACTGTTTTACCATCTTTCTCCCTGATAGGTCTTTCATCTCAGTGCCTTACATCCCTTTAATTATCCAAAAATTTTCCATTTGCCAATAACAATGAAAATTATTGGTCACATGTAAATATTGGGACATGAACCTTGCAGGTAGAATGAGAAGATTCCCTAGAGTTTCCATACTTGATATTTCTGCATTCACAAAATGCTCAAAAGCTATACTAAAAGTCAAGCTCCAAGGCAGCTGCCTCAAGGGAGATTATTTTTGATAAAGGTGAAGGGAGTTGTTGGCACTGCATAAACCATACAACAGTATCAGTGAAAAACCTCCTGCTCCCATCTCGTCCAATGATGCCCACCGGTAAAGCTGATGGTGTGGTTTGAAGTCTGCCCTCTAAATGCGTAGACACTTTCCTTTCTTGTTCATTGTCATTCATCAAGTTTTAGAATACTCCAGTTTATTCAAAGGAAAATTAAGTAGCAAGCTGCATGATTTCAGAATCATGAAAAAATCTGGAATTTCTGAAATTCAAATGTTTTGACCTAAACTAAGGATATTAAAATGTTTCCAGATTTTCTCTAACTATGTAAAGGGTTAATTAAAGCACGAGTTGCCTGGATTTAAAAAAAAAAGAAGAAGAAAAAGAAAATTGCCAAACCTAAAATCAGTATCACTGAGGCTTCTGATGCCAAGAATCTGTTTGAAAGAGCAGGCTTCTCTACTGACATTTTAGCAGTAGCCAAAGTCCTTTTCCCACTAAATTCTGTCTTGGCAGCATTAGGATTTTGCTGAAAGCCTAAACTCCTCCTGGTTAAGTGTTCTCTGTCTCAGGAGTTAGAAACACTGTGCAATAAGGAAGTTGAATTGAGCAAGTCCTTGTGATTTCTATTCTTACCACGGAGACCATGCATTCTGTAAAATGAGAGTGGTTGAAAATAAGGAGACTTGCTCATCTAGCCAAAATCTTCACTATACCTTAAATTGTACAATACTGTACAATACTGTACAATTTCACATAAAAATCTCAAAGTAAAAGCTGATACTCTCACATTACCTCAAGATTACCACACACAAACCATCATTAAAGTGGTAAATAAAAGGATTTGGTTTCAAACTATAAATGACAAAATTTTCCAATGCTCAGTTAAAATCAGAGTATTTCCAGAAATGTGGTAAAGGCTTACAAACATTTTTATTTTCATAATCCCCCAGATATCTATCACGGGCTTTGAGGGCCTCAAATCATTACTGTCAAAAGTTCACATAAAGCTTAATACTGTGCTTGCAAGATTTTTCCAATAATTTTGAAATGAAAGCAAATAGAATACACTTGGATCTACTTACCTAGCGGCTGAATGTTACAGAATTGGTAAAAGAGTATTCCAACCAAATCAATTCACTTAATCTTTCAAGTAGATCTGATTACCATCGTCTTTGAAAAAGTCCAAAGACTTCACCTAATGAGGGGAAACAAAAACAAAGAACAACATTTAAACCAGAGCAGCATGATGGGAACTATACATTAACACAAAAATAAATCAAAGCCATTATTGTATCTTTTCTTAGGTCACTGTGCTACTTGAAACTATAAATTAACAAAAGCATCTGGCAACTAAATTAAAATTTCCAGTTCAGTGTGAAATGAATGTGCAGGCATAGAGAAAACAATGAAATAACACAACAGAGTGAGAGAAGAAAAGATTCTCATTTCTCATGGGCATGTGGGAATGATGGCCATACGATATCAGGGCATTTAAAATTATAGATGAGGAAAAGATGCAACTTATTGTTTTGGAATTCTATTTCTTGATTCTTATTAATTTCCTGCTGCAATGAAAATCTGTAGGTTGCAATTTGTTAAAGCTGTTAAATCCAAGCTATATGCAATTTCTATGGAGAAACAGAAACTAATATCTAGATAGATAGCTCATTCTAATATGATAATAATCTAGAAGTCTTGGAGATAATTCACTAGCATGAATTTCCAAATGGTTCTGAGAATATCACACTTTGCCCCCCACAGGAACGGTTTACTAAAGACCCATAAACAGCTTAATAAGGATTTACACATAATCTCAGTTTATTCTATTCATTTTACCAGTAGAAGTACATTTTCTCAAGCCCAGATATTAAATTACAATCTTAGCTCTGAGAAAAGGTTTGAGAGAAGGCAAGCCATATCTCAAAAAGAAGAAGAAAGAAAAAGAAAAGAAATGAGATGCCTAGCTATTGAGTAGAAGAATGAGAGACGAAAATGAAAAGTCCCAAGCTACTGCCAAATCTTCTTGTCTTCCCAGGGTAGATTCAATATGTTTGAAAGTCCAAGAACTTCATAGACAACCATATTCAAGTGAAAATTCAAAAATCTATTTGAACATCATAAATAAATTATTTTTTTGTATTATGCAATTTGAGCTTACCCATTCCCCTATCACCATTATACACATCAGTAAAATTAATTGATATCTATTAATCTTGGTATCAAAAAATAAAAGCAGAAATAGATTTGTTTTCTACTTGGCACACATGGATTGCTATGAGTCAGAACACTCACTGGCAACTGAAAACAACAAAGTGTTAGAAGGTACAAGCACAAAGAAAAAAATTGCTAACAATGAAGAAGACAAGTGGCAATAATTATATATAGCAGGTAGAAATCTGCAGTACTTGTGGGGGAATATTTTTCACCTCCAAGAAAATCCGTGTACAGTTGTTATTCATGAAATAGTTATCTAGGAAACTCATTTGGATATAGTCTCAAAAGACTTCTTCATTAACAGAGACAAATAATCTTAATTATTATTCTAGGGTTCTTGCCACAAATATAACAAGACAAATGTCAAATGGCTTGGTTATTTTAAATTATACTAAATCAAGGAATGCAAGCACCTAAATAATGAATGACAAAAATGGTACAACACACATATTTTTCATCTGTGAACATTTAGAGATGTGAGTATATTTTCATATGTTTCAAGGCATTTTATGTAAGAGTTATAAAGGCTTTTTTGAATAGCATTTGGTAGCTAGACTTGTAATACCATCTCTGAAGACTTGCCAGGATGGATTTGTGCAGAAGCTACTACACTGTTTAACAACCTGTGTTTATTTATGTCAGTCACCACATAAGATGCTAGGGAGCTTCTCCTCGTGGTGAAGAAGGAACTTGAGTACAGGTTCAAGTCCATCTCTTCTCACTGAACTGTCAATGTATAATGTTATCACTGACCCTGACAGAAGTCTACACACACCACTCCGTTTTCTATCCTTCTTCATTTCTTAGGCAGAGTACAGAGTTATTGTTTTCTTACATTACGTAATTCTTGCCTCATAAGAAGACTTAAATTACCTGAGTGTGGCCAGTCATTAAGGCAATATTCAAAGGGTTTTTCCTCCTATAACATACCAGATATGCTCTAATTTCAACCTAACTTGCTATCTGAGTCGTCAGTGACTTCAAATTGAATTTTTAGGTATTTATGGAGGGCCTCCTAAGTGGTGATGTGGGTCCCTCATAACAAGCTTCAAAAGCAGTAAACATATATTAATCACTCATATGGATGATTTCATTAAATGAGTCCATTAAATGATTAGCACAGAAGGTACAGATCTATTACCTCTGCAACAGGTAAACCTTAAGGGCACAAACCACAATACAATTCCTTAGAAATGTTAATTCTTTAGAAATGAACAGTGACACCTGAGCCATGATAGCTGCTTCCCTGTAATTTCTATTCCACACAGTAGTGCACACTTAAAATAATTTTATGACCTAATTAAGGCAATTGAGTGTAAACATCCTTCCTTTTAATTTGTTTTCATTGCCGGCCTTTACCACACTAGGATAAAAACAACACAAAGCAAAAGAACTCTTCAGTTGTCTGCCATTGAAGGCCAAGATTACCTTTATCTCTTCCCCTCCACCCGACACCGACTGCCTTTCTTATTTCTCCTGTGATAGGTTCAGGTTCCAAAGACAAGAAAAAAGGAAAAATGTAAATAACTTAAAACTGCAATAAAAAGTTTTTAATTTAAATTTGGTCGAGAATTTTGTTGTTGTTGTTATATGCCGTCGAGTCAGACCCGACTCATAGCAACCCCTCCCTGGGTTTCCAAGGCAGTATCACTACAGAAGTAGATCGCCCCATCTTTCTTCCAAGGAGTGGCTGGTGGTTTTGAACCACCAGCCTTCTGGTTAGCAGTCAAGTGCCTTAGCCACTACGTTACCAGAACTCCCTTGGTCGAGAATAGTCTCTATATATTGTTGTGCATACGAATTAAATCCATGTATTATCTTCCTGGATATAATAAACCTAGGCACTCTGGTAGCATAGTGCCTAAGGCATTTGACTGCTAACCAGAAGGCTGGCGGTTCAAACTCATCAGCCACTCCTCGAAAGGAAGGTTGGGCAATCTACTTCCGTAGTGATACTGTCTTGGAAACCCAAGGAGGGGTCATTATGAGTCGGGTCCGACTCCATGGCACATAACAACAACAACAACAACAGGCACTCTGAAGGAAACATGTTTTATACATGGCATGTGAAGAGCTCTGTTTGCTGTGTTGGAAGGGAAGTGAAAAATAAATAGAAGGAAAAAAAGACATTAGTATCTGCAAGAAAGGAGGCAAATAAAGACAGAGCTGTTCTCTGTCTATACTTCAAAAGTGGGGTACAGTGAATTACTTTATATGGTGCTTCTAGCCATGTTCTGTATGACTCCCACACAATGATTGGGTGGGACTATGCAAATAAGGTATATGGAACCTGTGATGGTTAAGATTACATGTCAACTTGGCTGGGCCATGATTCCTGAGGGGAGGAGGAGGAGTTGATGTTAGAGATGATGGAGTGGTATACCAAAAAACCAAACTCACAGCCATTGAATCAGATCCAACTCATAAAGACCCCTCCTTGGGTTTCCAAGGCGGGATCACTACCGAAGTAGATAGCCCAATCTCCCTTCCAAGGAGTGGCTGGCGTTTTTGAACTGCCAGCCTTCTGGTTAGCAGTCAAATGCCTTAGGCACTATGCCACCAGAGCACCAGAGTGGTATAACAGTTTGGAAAAGTTGGCCATATGGGACATCTTTAACCTCTGCCTCATAGGAACCAGTTTTGTGCTGATCCTTCTAAAAGAAGTTATTGGAGCTGTTGGTGTCAGAATGGTGAGGTTTGCTGCCATGGTCCAAACTTACTAGAATGAGTGGTTTTGGAGAAAAAAGGGATAAACAAGAGAATGAGAAATCTTTGTTTCTGGAAAGGATAAAAGACACTCATGGATAGAAGCAGCTGCTATGTTGCAATCAGTTATCCAAGGCAAAAGCTATTCATGGGAAGTAGGAGTGGTGGGTCTAACTCTTGAGGAAGTGGCTACTTAGATGCACAGGGAAATAAAGAGTGATAAGGAAAGGGCCAGACACACAATCAAATTCTCTTATCAGTAATAGCTGCAATGGCAGGGAAAAATAATATAGGGGCAGACTGTAGCACTGAACCAAGCCCAGATCCCATCTGGTATGAGCTAGAAACACTAATCTCAGGGATGAATCAGAAAAGAAAAATCATGTCAGAACAGGGAGTACCACTAAGACTGCTTGCTGGTCACCAAAAAAGTAGTCCCAAAGAAGGCAACCTACGAGGGAAATGGGCAAAACCAAGAAACTACTAAAACCAGGGGGAAGAGTGCAAAGGAGTTGCTACAATTTGTAGATCAACATGGTCAGCTTCCAGAGAAACCATTGCTAAAATGAATTGTGAGAGCAACTAATTTAGGGGCAATGTCTTCAGTTTTGAATATTGCAAAATGGAAGAGTATGTTTGGGTTGATGCAAGATCCACAACTCACTATGAACAGCCATGAATGATGATAAAGATTCAGTTACACAGCAGCTTAACCCAGATGGGATGGCCCTCCTAGTGGACTGGATAAAATGTGCAGTGAGATTTGTTTACCCTGAGAAGGAAAACTCCTCTTCTCCCCCTCTAAACACCCAGTGGAACACTCCAGAGGAAGCAACTGACCTGCTGTTTACGCAAACCATGCTGAAATGGCTTTATGGTGATCAGGATATTCATCCAGTAAGTGTGCCCCTCACATCTGTCAGAACAGATGTGGTGGTCAAGGGAACCCCTTCATGGGCACCCCATGTAACCTTGTGACTGCAAAACAAGAAGCAACAATCCAAGAAACCTTGGCACAGCTTCCCCACACAGGTCTTAGAGAAGCAAGAAACATAAGGGTGATTCATAGAAGAGTAGCAAGAGGCAATGCTGAAAACACTTACCACAGCAGGACAGAGATTTTTAGATAGCGACTAAGAAATGGGACAGGTATAGTGGACACTGATGGAATTGAGACGGAGGTTCTAACACAGCACTACAGGACGTTGGGTGGATCAATGGAAACTCCTGCTGGTCCCTCAATGTTAAAGAGGCCTAAACAAGTCCCTTCTATTC